TATTTTTTTTTGCATCATTAAATTATTATGGAAAATTTAGTTTATTTATTCTTTTTATTTTATTTTTTACTTTTGAGCTAAATGTTAAGATTTATGACTTCAAAATAATAAATAAAAAATTATTAAAATGCCCATTGTAAAAATTAAAAAAAAAAAAGCAGTATAATATTTTGCATCATTAAATTATTATGGAAAATATATATATGTATGTACATATTCTTTCCGATATATTTTATGTTTATATTACGGAAATTTTTTAAGCTACTCATGTGAGTAATCTCTTTTCTCTCCATTCTATCATTAGCATTTTCACATTTTTCCACTAAGCTCTCACACATTGCACACCTTCTTACAACATCATCATACTCTCAAGCAGGTAGAGTATTCGTACAAGAAGTGCAATCAACAATAAAAAAAGCTTTACGCGTTCGCGCTTCAAATGTTTATGCGCTGTTTTCTTTGCGCGTTTATTTATTATTTTTTTTCGCCTTACTGTTTTATTTATTTCTCTCCTTTTGTTGTTGTCTTTTTGTGTGTGTTTTATGTTCATTTGAACGCATCGCTATGAAATTTAATTTGATGTGAGGCCCAAGCACACTGACAGGGTCGAGTAGCCCAAATGACGTTGTCAGTCAAATAATTTCAACGGAGTGTGTTGTTGTTGTTGCTTGAGCTKTGTGTTGATGTAAATACTCAAGCAAGTGCACTAGATAGTCAAGTGTGGATCGGACTTTAAGTGGCTGTTGGTTATTGAAAGGCCATTAGCAAATAACCTTCTTATCTGATTTTGTGATCTGCAACCGAATTGGAATTTGAAAAAGTTGTTTAGCCCATCTTAAGATCGTTATGCATTGTAATTCAATAATATTAGGATTATGTAATGCTCTCAATAAGTGAATTGAGCTCAATTCTATTTGCTCTTGGGATTTTTAGACTTTTTCTTCTCTGATCTTCAGTTAAACGTGTTGGAATATCTTTAATATCTAGAATATCTCAACTATAAGTAGTATGTTTTTATATATGACATGTTAATATATATAATATTTTTAGTATATTAACATAGTATACAACTTTGTAGTATTTTAACATGTTATCTACTAAATTTCCCCACTAAAAAAAAAAAAAAAAAAAAATATCCAACACTCAAAAAACGGTTGCCTACTTTTAAGCCCAGCCTTAAAAAAAAAAAAAAAAAAATATCCAACACTCAAAAAACGGTTGCCTACTTTTAAGCGCAGTCGTTAAATAAATAGCCCATAAATATATTTTAATTCTGTGAGGCATTCATTCCATACAGTGTATTATTTTAGGCTTTTAATATAAATGCTCCAAGAAAAAAAAATGGCAAATTGGCAACATTATTTATTTGCGCAACTGTTTTGCAAACACTATACAAATTATTTGTTTACAAAAAATTATCAATGTCGTTTGACATTGAGCCGTAACCCAATTAATATTAAAGAACCTTTGAATTCGCTATAAATACTGGCAGAAGCATTTGAGAATTAAATTCAAATCGAGAACATGAAAGTCACATTAGCTCTGTGCTGTTCGCTGTTAGCAATCCTGTCCAGCGCTAGCTTGGTACACGGGCGATTCTGGAACACCGGCAATAATAATTTGGGCAACGGCAACAGCAATTCGCCAAGGATCTGTGTCCTCGAAAATTGCAATTACTTTGCCACTAGCGAAGTCTGCGCCCGCTATGGACGCTCGAATCTCTGCAAACGATTCGCCAACAGTTGCATGGTGCGCTACGATACCTGTGTTAGTTCCGTGACCTACACACAAGTCCCCATATCCTTGTGCTCGAACATTCCAGTGGGCACACGGCGACAGTGCAGCTCCACAGGCGCCGCCGGCGCCGCAGGTGCCACTTCCAATGCGCAGGCCATCATCATAGGCAGACGTGGCCGTTAACTTAATTTCCGATTACATTTTGTTATGGATTTGCAAATAAACATATATAGATTATAAACTTCTTTAAACTGAATGGAACTGGGCTCAGATGAATTAAGTATGACATGACAGTTGTTGTCTTACTCGTCGATAATATAAACCTAATAAAATATAAAATAAAAGCTGTTGCCTCACTCACAAAATTTGAGGTATGCTGCTGACATACCTCGCAAATAACTGTTAACCATTTAATTCATTTGCCGATCCATTTGTAATAATATTCAACTTTGAGCTGACCTATTCGCTCTCGGGCTCGATTTACGTTCTCAAAATGAGAAATATTGATCTATAACACTTGAGTAAGGTGCATGAATGCCAAAGGCTGAAACTTTTGGAAATATTCGTCATAATTGCTCGCTAAATAAATGACGTAGCCTTATGAATGAATCTGAAACTGAAACTGTGGGCAAACACTGCTAGTGAAAGTGGTAAAAACTAGAGTGAAGGCAGCTTGAGTTAAGGCAGCTGCATGACAAAAGCTGAATGCTACAAGACTCGATGTAGACAAGACTGGAATAATTCATATTATATATATATTATATT